TTGCTCTCAGCTTGATCGAGAGGTAGCCGCTGTTATCTTTCGTATGACCAAACTTCATCAAAATTTACTCGGTCGCTGTTGACTTTCCTCTAACCGATTGGAAAATGCCATCATTGCGTAGTTTCATTTGAAGAATGGACACGACGTCTGACCATTCATGACAAAAGTGTAAACGATTGCAGATTCTGGCGTGCGGCTCCACACCGTCTGAGAACTGTTGCAGATAATATGGATTGCGATATTCCTCAGGACCCGGACCTTGAGGACGCCTGCAACTCCTTATACTCAAAAATGATGCCGCGCGAGAAGCATGTTGTCTGCTTCTCTAAATTGAAACAATTGTGGAGTGGATCTATTTGAATCAGTCTTGCGTTTAGAATCTTTAAGAACAAATGATGCATATTATGGTATAGGCCTAAGTCTACACCATCGGCTTTGGACCACTCGAACTACAAGATGGTTAGGAAGGTTTGCACCCTACAGAGATGTGAGAAAAGACAAAGTGCGAACACATTTTGGCGGAGATATTCACGACCAGTCCTAAACTACTTTCAGTGTTTGTGTAAAGAGGTGGAAAACTGGAGTTTAGACACCTGCTTTGTATCCCAGCGATAATGATAGCATAGTTCATGTAGCTGATGCAAAGACTGGTCTTATCACCTTTCAATATTCCGTCGAAGCTCCAGTGTCCATTGACTGTCAACACAAAACTCAACAGTAAAGCACGAGAAATCATTAACGATTTAATTGCAAAACTACTTAAATATAACTCAAGCCCTTCACCGAGTCCTGGTGATCGGCATACTTTGTTCTTCAAGAAGGTGGCCCAACACGTTTTTCTGTTGAATGCCAAGCTTTACAGCCCTCTCTAGATGTAGAACGTCTCCCGCGTGCCTGGAAATCAGGTACTGTGAGGCCCATTTACAAGGGAAGAGACCGTAAAAACTCCGCAAGGTATCAGCCGCTCTGCCTAGCATCGGTAATCTAAAGTCCGCAAAAGAATTCCTCAGCGATTAAGGAACCCTCACTTGGAGGACCTTAATATCACCTCAGACGATAAGCATGGTTTTTGAAGGTCACGTTCCCGTACCTTATTTCTACTTGTTACTACAGGAAAATGGACGATGCGCTGGATACCGGCAATCTCCTGGGTGTTACGTCCGTTCATTTCAACAGAACACTTGACAAGTCCCTCATAGAAGTTTGCTTCCCAAACTCCGTGTTTGGTACCGTTGAGAGGATTATTTCCCGAATCTCTGCCTTTCTGGACGACTGTAGCATGCCAGATACATGCAACGCGCCTGTTTTTATTACCTACAAGGTCCAGCAGAGCTCTGTCCTTCGTCTTGATCTCCCATCAGAGCTTCAGACCGATTAGCTGATATATGCTGTTAGTCTAAACCTGTGGCTGAAGGTGCCCGAGCTAGGAGAGGCTGACCGATTAAAAACAAAACTAAGCGAGCTGCAACGTTGTTAAGAAAGTGGCGACCAGCATTAACCAGGATAAGAGTTCCGTCCTTCTAATTGGTACCCCAGATCTCTTTAGCGCGTATCACCTTGGAGACATCCTACTTAGATAAGCAACCCGTGATAAGCATCTTGCAGTGCTCGTTTCGCTTAGCCTACGCACATCCCAGAACACCCGGAGGACATTCGCTGCTGTTAAAAGGTTGCTTTTTGCTATAAGGTAATCTTTTTCTCAAAGAACGCCAGTGCTCTACCGACTTTTCTTCAACTGTCATGTGCGTCCGATTATTGAGTGTTGGTTCTCAGTAGCCTATTCTCTCACGTAGGCCGAATGTGCTTTGCCAAGGAATGTTAAGCGACTGGGATCGAAATCCGTCTCTACAATCAGAAACCTGTCTTTCTCTCGCCAACTTCAGTAGATTAATTTATTCTCCACGGAGGACCGTCCTCGAGTTGACTTGATTTACACACGACGTATCCTGCTAGATGAGCTGTGGAATGAATTGCAGAAGTTCTTCCACTTTCGTGCGGATAGTTCGACAAGGGACCACTGCCGGGGGCTGTTTAACTCAAAGAGGTTTCAAGCTGACTCCGATGTTACTTTGTCAACTAGTATAGGGAAGGAATGGAACAATCTCATTGAGCTAGTTATTTATAAGGGTATTTATCGTTTTTGAGGGGGGAAAATTTGTCGCAGTTAGACTTAGTCAGACAGCCACTATACCTCCAGAAAAGTGCTAGACTGCCGCGGCTCGGTGGTATAAGTCCCTAACTTATAAGCGTAAGATCATTAGTTCAAATCCGTCAGAATCCGGAAGGTACGCGCTACTGATGAGTCCCGATGGGAGGAAGTGGTCATCTTTCGATTTCCTGGAAATGTTGTAGCTTTGTGGCTGAGTCCAGCTGCGGGATAGCAGAACTCATCTTCTGTGCGCAAACAGCGAAACGTTGCTAACAATTGTTAGCTACATATTCGCTGAATACGCACGCATCAGACTGTGTTCACTTCGATGACAATGACCTCTACTCAAACGCTGCTTCGCGAAGACTCACATGATACCTGCAGTGAGCGAGGAGTAAAGATAACGAAGGACGTTCATTCTGCGCTCTATAGCCAAACAATGTTTTTCTTGTTGATCACTTAAGTGGGAATCAACAAACGGCATCACTCAAAATGATCCGCTGGTCCCTTATTCTATCTGCATATACCTACCAAATTCGATAAGTTCTTGTCCGGAATAGTACGACCGGTGATGTTCGTGCTCAACTTCCTTTACCAGAGCTATATTCAAAGACTTTGCCCAGCAATAGCTCGTAAACCTTGCCCAGCATTTTACTTACATCAACGGATACCCGTGAGAAAACGGATAGAGTCTTGAGGTAAGCGAAACAATCTTTACAAATCAACGAACACACGCCATTTCCTAATAAAAAGGCTGAAGTCAGCCTGTGGGGCGTGCGAGCTACTGTTCCCAAGAGATGTTAGTCAAGTATCTTTGATGAACTAAACGATGCGCAATAAGGATTCTCCAATATGAAGTCCATAGCTCGCTTTTATGTATGGTAGCCCGGATTGGACGATGGCATGGCGGCGAAAGCTGAAAACTGCTGGCATTGTAAAGACTAAAGAAACCTCAACCCATGTGTCAATGTAGCCTTGCCGGTGGCCAGAAACGTAATGGAAATGGTATTTAAAGTCCTTTATTGACTTTAAAACCGAATGGATTGGGGCCCATAAGCTGAGGATCTTCCTAGTGGAATCAGCCGATCTCCGTTTCTTAGCTCATTCAGACCACAGTATTCATAAATCAAGTTTTCCCTGTTCCTTTCTCGTTTACTTCATTGGCCAGAACATATAAGTAAGTATAATGCTTTGTTGGATGCTTACACACTTGCTGCTTTTATTAAGGATATGCTTAGTCTCTGAAAGTATAATTGATATCCTGACGCAGCCGTCCCATACGCTATGTGTATGGTCGCTTCAAGTGCCGCTAAACTCATTATTCCATTTTGAACAACACGACGAAAAATTGCTTAGAGACCACATACTCATATCTAGTGGGATAGTCTCTTTAGCTTCTTCATTCCAAGTGGCCTACCCTACATTTTAAACACACAGACATCATAGAAAGTAGACTCGATTCACGGTATTATGGTTATGTCTATACCATGGTGATGACCTATAAAGGAGACAAATTGCTAGCAGACGGCTAGACGAACTGAGTTTCTTCTAGATATGTTACCAAAATTACAAACAGTTATTTTTCTGCATTGTACACTAAATCTATTTTCAACGTGGTGAAGCTAGGACTTAATGGGGTGCATTCGCCCCCATCTCTGTGACATACTGATTTATGCTGGGAGTATCCTCTGGGTGAATATTTCGTAGCCCGTCCCGGTTGTATTAATGAGTAGTGATCGGTTAAGTGCAGTCACAGAGTTGTGGAGAGGTCGATGAGCGTCGACCTGTAGGTAACCTCAATTTACAGGTTGTAAGCTTAGCTTGCTTGTTACTGAGCGAAAGCACTATATAGGCTGTCTTTTATGGTTAGACTTGGGTGGCTTAAGCGCCTAGCTGAGTTATTTTTAGTGTGCTGTATCAGCATGCTGGTCATGTGAGGAGTTTGAAACGCCAAAATTTGTTTATTAGAAGGATGTTTGTGAGTAACGTAAGTTTCGTAGAAGGCAGAAGTCACGATTAAACTCCACACGAAAATCTGCCTCGACGGGGAATCGAACCCCGGTCCACGAATTTCCGGTCCGTTGCTCTACCACTGAGCTACCGAGGGCTGACGATTAGGTGCGGAATTTGACACGTGACTTCTACTTGGTGCGCGACGTATTGCCAATGAGCTCACAGTAACTGTCCTGGTGTTGCAGATCGGCTCACTCACTCGTCACTTCCCAGTGGACCGAAGTAACTGTCCATCCGAAGTCCAAAGGGCGATGGTAGATTATTAGAAGGATGTTTGTGAGTAACGTAAGTTTCGGAGTTTAATCGTGACTTCTGCTTTCTACGAAACTTACGTTACTCACAAACATCCTTCTAATAATCTACCATCGCCCTTTGGACTTCGGATGGACAGTTACTTCGGTCCACTGGGAAGTGACGAGTGAGTGAGCCGATCTGCAACACCAGGACAGTTACTGTGAGCTCATTGGCAATACGTCGCGCACCAAGCAGAAGTCACGTGTTAAATTCCGCACCTAATCGTCAGCCCTCGGTAGCTCAGTGGTAGAGCAACGGACCGGAAATACGTGGAACGGGGTTCGATTCCCCGTCGAGGCAGATTTTCGTGTGGAGTTTAATCGTGACTTCTGCCTTCTACGAAAATTTGTTTACTTTTAACGGCTTAAAAAGGAATTTGAAAAAAGAAACAAAAGGGTATTCAAAATGTTATTATTTATGCCTCGACTGTCGGTCTCTTCTACTTTTATCACACAGACGACAAATTCCACCGCAACTTAATGCTTAGATAACGTTTGGTGGACTAATCAAAGTAAACTGAGCTTGTTTGTGTGCGTTTTCACAGGGCTTGAAGGATCCTACGTTGCAAGCTACTTTGCCATACGTCAAGACGCCGTCGCCGCCACTATCGCTAATGCCTCCATCGCTTGCGCGGTGATATCAATTATTTGGCTCTTTTTCTTCTGGAGTGTGCTCAGCCGGGTGATCCGAACACTAATTTTCCGACTTCAGCGCAGTCTAGGTGGGTTCATATTAGAGGATGGATAATTCAGGAATGCTTACGTGACCGTTTATAGCTTCCGACTTTATTTCAATGTGTTCATTCACTGACGTTGTTTTAACCTGTCACTTACTTAATCCCAATGGCTAGTTGGAGTAGCCTCTTTTACTTTCGGACTGCAGTCTTACTTCGAGACTAAAGATATCACTTCCTTTCCTATATATGCACCTGATTGGTTTCTTATCATAGTCGGTTTCTACTGTTTTGTGTGTCTGCATGCTTGTAACACTCTGGTTGGCTTTTTCATTTAAGCATCAAGATATGTAACGATGCTGTTTCTCTATGAAGAGAACCCTGGAGCGTGTTCCTGCCAATTTGCGTTCCCACTACCTGTATTAGGCGGAAGCAGTCGCGGAGGCCGACACAAGAGTTCATACCGTCTCAACACAGTTCTGTCCTCCATCTATCTCCTCTCTGCTGTTAAGAAACGGTTGTTAGCCCCTTAGTCTTCATTACAAACCTCGCGCGTGTTATCGAGTTTATTGTCCTACATTTTGTCTTGGACATCCATAGATGGCGGGTGTTCGTTAGTCATGAAGTTCAAGATACGCTGCAGCAATGTTTAGAGTTCCGTTTGAATGCTTAGAGGAAAATTTACTTCCGTTTAACGCGAACAATTGCAAATTTTACATGTACACCAAAATCTCACTAACGGATATAAACTTGGTGACCACAACTTGAAGACCGCCTCACAGGAGTGAGGCATTAGAGTGGTGATATAATACTACCTTGACTTCCCAGAGCACCTCTTGAAGGCGTCCAAAACCGCGAACCAACAGGTTGGTCTCTTACGGAGGACTTTCGGGCGTTCCGATCCCTCCAGCTTCCCTAAAACCCTAAATGCATATCATGGCCCATGTTGAGTACGCGATTCAGGCGTGACAGCGCTGGCTAAAACGCTACCTGGTTGCCCTAGATACTCCACAGCAAAAGTCAACCAACAAATGTGAAGGTATTGTTTCAACTGCCATACCATTTGCGACTGAAAGTCTTAAGAGTGTACAGGGAAGTTATCGCCGTCTAAGAGGTGAACTCCCTTTGACGTACCCGAGCTTGAAGGCAATGGTCATGCTTGCCGCTACGTACTGAAAAGTAGCTGCAATATGAGACTGCGGGGTCAACATCTAAGACTGGCCACCCAATACAGTCAGCTGGAATGCCCCCGGAATGGTTTTCCTTTCCATTTTGTCAACCCTAAACAACTATCCAATTGTGAAAGACGACGTGACGATGAATCACACTAGCTGCATCACTTAGTTTAATTTCTGTTCATCAAATGACGCCAGGATACAAACATTGTGAGCACCATCCACAAGAAATCGGGGTAAAGCGATCTACATGTGCGTTAGTGTATAATGTGGTGAGTCCATAGATACGCGTTTCACTTTAGTATGACTTCGTTTTTTAACTTATGCAATTCACACAAATCTTCCCACGGGAGCTGTCAACCATTGGGTTTTTATCCGTATCATACCACTGTTCCATCGCACCACTGTAAAGGGTAATTTTCGCTACAATCTGGCTAGCATTTGGTTCAAGGGTTAAATACTGTACTTGGGCATCTTGAAACACCAGATACATTGAGTACCCGATCGTGGATGGTTTCAGTCTCGCTCTTTCCTACCCCTGCACTCCCTGACTGACGGTTTCGTCTTAGTTTTGACTCATCAGATAGAGATAGCCGAGCTGGGAGTGAGACTCGGCGCATAGGGCTTATCGGCTATCGTCATGATAACTAGGTCATTGAGTTCCGCGAGCAGTGTTTGCTCACTATAGGGGTGTGCAACATTGGAACCCTTCACTGTGGGTACGGTCCCAGTGATCGGAATATCAAGAGATGACTTCAAAGTCTGCCAAAGTCACCACCGAGGTTGCATGTCGCAATCTTAGACACAAGACGAGTACTCAAAACCCGACAATAAAAGAAGAACCGATCACTTTACTGGTACTCGTTTTATCGAACAGAAGTTGTCTTAGCATGTTACCATTGGAAATAAAGCTAATACCAAGTTGGGGCTTATCAACATAACGATGTTAAGTCTAAGCAGATCCTGACACACCTGTTTAACTAGTTCCACTTCCGAAGCAAATTGAAATATTGTTCAGATCCTGTAATAGGTAACACTTTAATTTTTGTTTACAGATCAAAAACGGGCGGACGAAGACAGACGCGCTTGTCCCACCGTACTTTTGGCTCACCACACAATGAGTGGATGAACAACTCCGGATAACAAGCACCATGTGACTTTACGTAACATTTCTAAGTGACAGTCATAGACATTATGTGGATCTAAATGTAATAACGTCATTTGTATTTTAATAACTCTTTACTCAACACTGCATTTTACCCATGCGCTATTAATGGTTTTCTCCATCGTAACGAGACTATAACGCGGTGCAACATCCCGCCTCCATTTTCGACACATTGAGTATTTCTGTGTGAGGCTCTCGAGCCCCATGTGAGATACTCTTAGCAATTAGGGCAATAGTTAGGGGTCAGACGAACTCCTGACCTGATCCTCCAATTTGGAGTTTGAAATGGGATGGCATCCATTTCTGTAAAATCGAATAGTTGCCACCTTCCCACCACTTTGCGGACAAGCTTTTGAACAAAATGCTTGGTTGAGAACCCATAATCCTTTTTTTCCCTAGGTCTGGGCGCCCAAGCTGTATCTCAGCCCACGTACAACCATGACCGTTTCTTCAAACTATAGCAACAGTTTGCATCGACTGTCGCACAGCTTAGCAAGTGTCGCCTTATCTGTTGCATACAGCAGGTCGAATAAGTGAAAAAGTGCTACTGCTTACACCTCTCCTCTTGCCTTTCGACTTGTTTTCCTTCACTTCCAACACGTATTACTAAAATCCCTTCTAAAGTTCCCAACGTAATTGACAGCAACCACAATGACAGTGGTGCCATGCCATCTGCAGCTATCTTCGTACACCGCCCACTGGACACAAAATGACAAACAGCCCACTATAAGGCCACGCTGTCTCGTTTCCCCGGCGACATTCGACGTTCGCACTCTAAGGCAAATTGGTCGATAAGCTGCACTCGCAAGCAAGTTGGACACTCTGGGTATTGACTAATCACTTTTGAGAGCAGTTCATTTGGCTACCCAGTCTTGGACCTATTCCTACTCAAATGGTGCGGCCTGGTCCATAGCTGCTCAGCTTAGAGCAGGGGTGCCCAAACTTTCTCAAAGGAGGGCCACATTTCGTGAGGTAAAATCATGTTGGGCCATATTCAGTCTGACATTAAGATAATAACAAAACTTACACATGTACGATAAATGTCTAAGTCTGTATTTATAATTTCATGATGAGGTCGCGAGCCACTTGAAATGCATTTGGCCCGCGGGCCGGACTTTGGACATTTTTGGTTTAGAGGTTCCGTCAGAGGCTGAGTTCCGAAACGCCGTCCAAGCCGCTAACCGTTTTCGTGCTATTGACTCAGATTTCCTCCCACCAGCACTATTTAAGGATGGTGGTGGGGTTCTCTGTAAAGCAATAACCTCCGTATTAGAACATGTCTTGAAGGAAGAAGCCATCCCAACTAACTGGATCGAATCTAGGATAGTGACAGGAAGAGAAAATGCACGGACTGTGATAGCCAAATCAACTCAAGTAAAAATAGGCTTTTAAGTACCTTCACAGAAATATTCACAGAATTTGCACTATCACTGCGAATGAGGAGATACATGAATTTAATGGATAAAAGCAAATAAAGTGTCTGATGTAAAATATGTTAACGTAGCACGTAAGCAGAGAACTGCGTATCATACCGACGAGTTTCTTTGGGCCCGCAATTAATCGTAACAGGTAAGGGTAGGATAGGTTTGTGATGAGAAACGCTACGAGAAAATAAAATTGCATTTAAAGTGTGTAGAAGAAACAGATAAACAATGAACAAGGAACAATGATTTATCGCGGGATAAAAGCGTTCTTGACACGTCCAGTAGAGTACAATGAAATCAAAATATATGTGGGTCATCTACCAAACATCTGCCGAGATGAATCCGTTGCTAAATAACATCAGTGCAAATTGAAATAGTCGAACGTAAAAGTTCAGAAATACACTGGGGTGCAGTGGTCATTGATATAAGGCGTGAGAAAAGTAAAATATGGTCGCTCACTTGGGTCCGTTTGATACATACATCCTGTGGAAAAGCGTGCAATAGAGTAGTTTAGGTAACAAAATGCTTGGAGCTAAGAGCAACATTTAATCCTTTTTTGAAAACGTCCAAGGTAGGGGAGGATACAATTGAGTCAGGGAGTGGGTTCCAGTGTTGGCAAACCCGAAGGGAAAAGTAATTCCGTCGACACTCTAGACGGCTATATTGCTCCTTCAGTTTTAAGCAATTAACCCTGAGCTGCGTGTTGTGGCTAAGTATCTGCGAATGCGGCATACGTGGCTGGGTTCACTCAATACCTTTGTTACTCTTCGTTGTGCCTCTATCGCTTCTAGGTCGCGCTTCAACCAATGTTGCCAAGTTTAAATAGCGTATTCAAGATGCCGACGCACGTAGGAATTATGCATCATTGGGAAGATTGTTGGGTCGAATATCCCGAATACCCTTCGCATCATGCCGAGGTGTTGGTTGCTTCTTTTTGTAGCTACCTCAGACAGTTTTGAACCGTTGAGGTCGCTCTGTACAATCACACCAACCCCACTTTTTCTGGTCTGCAATCCGTTTGCCCCAAGCAAATAGGTGGAGCTATGTCTATGACGTAATTGTACAACGCGACCTATGTCTACGTTGAATGATAGAGCGCTTTGAACGGATCAGTTCGACACCGTGTTAACATCGCACTGGATCCGTTCGTGGTCGTCCGGTCCACTGATCCTTCGCCATATCTTGATATCATCAGAGAAATATAGAAAATCGCAAGCAATTGATCCTGCCAAATCGTTAATGAACACCAAGAATAGACGAGGTCCAAGCACCGAGCCATGTAGTACACCGCACCCCACATCGGTTGCATCGGACAATGATTCTCGGACTCTCACTGCTAACCGTCGTTCGTGTAGAACATTGCTAATCCAACTCAGCATTGTGTCACCAATGCCGTAGTTCCGAAGCTTCTGAAGAAGAATTCCATGGTCTAAACGATCCAACGCTTTGGAGAAGTCCAGGTAGATGATATCGACTTCTGCTCCATCATCAACAGCTTCAGTCCAGCTATTACGTGTAATTAATAGGTTAGTATTACATGAACGCTTTTAACGAAAGCCATGTTGCCCTGTGGCTATTAAGCTGTGGCTTTCCAGATACTGCCTCAGCGCATCTGCCATGATTGATTCCATAACTTTGGATAGTACAGGAAGTAGTGTTATTGGACAGTATTTGGTAGGGTCAGTGCGTCTCCCTCCTTTATGGATAGGAGTGATGATCCCACGTTTCCACACTAGTGAAATATGATTCACTTCTAGACATCGCTGATAGAAAACAGCCAGTGGTTCTGCTAGATCAATAGCTACGGACTGCAGAGCCTTTGGATGGATGTTGCCGACTCCAGGAGAACTGTGGATACGCAAGGATAACAACTTCTTCAACACAGCTTCAGCAGTGATGGTGATATGGTCTAAACCCGACGGTTGAGCAATAGAAACGAGGAAAATGTTTGGGCTCGTTATGTGCTGGAAAGTTTGGGAGTAATGAAGCTGTAGGAGATCGGCTGCTTCCATTGCTGATCGAGTGCATCCATCAGCCGTGATTAGTGCTGGAATCCCCCGCATCACTTTTCGAAGGCCGTTAACGTGCCTGTACAGAAGTTTGCGGTTCGTGCAGAATCATTTCATTAACTCCTACTAATGCATGACCTTGTCTTCGTGGATCAGTTTCACCCAGAAGTTAAGATGTGTCATGTATGCAGTCCAGGTTTCGGCTTTCGAGCAGTCCTGGTGATCACGCCATGCCAAATCCCTCCGGGACATACATTTACGTGTTCTGCTCATCAGAAATGATTTGTGAATGTTTTTGGCTTGGAAGAACCTCATTTCCGACGCGTGCGCTACCAGTGTGCTAAACATCCTTGTACAGGTTTCCTAGTCAACATCTGGGAGGCATTCGGTCAAGAAAGTCCAAGATGTAGCGTTAGCAAGCGTAGATAACACATTAGAGTGGGTGACAGTATGCACTTTAGCATCCTCCTTTTCAGGATATTCCGCATAATATATATAGTCAAATAGTAGATTAACATAGTCACTACGACCTTGTGCTGTGCTTGTAACTATTCCGTTAATCTAAAGTTTTTCGTTAGTGAGCATGCTATCCAGTATCGATGGTTTGTTAGCAGTTCAAAATCTGGTGGGAGAGGTTACGTGGTTGTACAGAGGGTGGCTAGCAACTAGCTTTTGCAAGTAGGCTTTAAACTCCTGCCGTCGGTTGATGGCATTTCTATGTCGTGAACGTTAAGGTCTCCAGCGATAAGAATGTGGGTGTAGGACATGTTCAAAGCTTAATGAAAGACGTGGTTCAGTTTGGAGTCCATTTCCGACGTTGAGTTTGGTGGGCTGTAAATCACGGCTAGTAGATATGCGTACTTGTTTCGCAACCATAGACGGCACCAAAGCGAATCAGGAACGCGGATTTCCGGCTGATCGATAAGTTCACATCGGAGGTTTGTATTGTAATTTAGAATCACACCACCACCCCTTCCGGTTCTACCGTCCCGAAGCAGCGACATACCGGGTAAATTGATCTCAGAATCGGTTATCTCTAGGTTTAACCAAGTCTCTGTAATCATGACGAAGTCCCGCGGTTGTGAGGCATGGAGTTCTTTAAGTTCGGCCAACTTACTTAGAAGGCCCTGGGCGTTTGTGTACATACAAGATAGAGATTTGTTGTGAAGTGAGCGTTGATGGATGTCAAATTTGTGTTAGTTTTTAAGCCGGCCGTTAGGGGCCGACTGCTTTCGATAAAGCTCCAATTAATGAGTGGAAATTGTCGTTTAGAACTTTGAAGGAAAAGCTAGTACAAGCGCCTACATGTTTGTTGACAGAAAAATCAACAAGTGTCTCTCTGAGCAGTCCACTGCATCTGGAAATGAGCCTAAACGAAGGTAAAAACAACGTGTAATCTCTTTTGAGTAGCCCAGAAAAACTTCTGGGGAACAGTAAAACTAGTGAGGCAGAATACATGTAGGTAGAAAATGAAAGATCAACGCACGGGCATAAAATGACAACTTACTAACCTTGTAAAATGTGTCGACTACAAGAGTAGAGCAAAATAGGTCCTAGAATAAAAAGGCTTGAAGCCACTTGACAATTGGTATCTTGGGCATGAGTTTAAGACTCACTGCCAGTGAAGAAGTAGCATTAGAAACAACTTGCAACTTATCAGCCGAAGAAG